AGCAGGAATCAACAGGTACATGTGCCAGTTGAGCAGTTAGCCATTCGCTCCTACCTTCTCCCCGGCCCTTTCCCGCCTTGAAGATCTATATTTAGGGCTAGTCTCTCACTGGAATAATGGTTAACTATGATTTGACTGGGCCAGCCTGCTTGAAGATTACACTTCTTTTCTCTCTGGAGTTTTATTATTATTTTCCCTCTACTAGATAGGAATAAGAAAATCTATTGCTTCTACTGTTTTTTCTGGTTTTCAGTCATTCATGGGCAGATTATTCGTACTGAAAACAAATCAACTATGATACAAAAGACGACCCTAAAAGGCCCTGCACCGAGGCTATCCTAACTTAACTGTTTTGCAAATGTAGCTATACTGCCTCTAGTAAGAGCCAGCCTTGCTTCAGTCAGTACAGCCATGTTTGTGTGGACCCTGAGATAACTTGCCCTGCTAGATTCCAAACCCCACACTTCCAAACCTGGAGAGCAGCAGAGGCCTTCCAGGAGCTCCACAGTCAAACAGCCTGTGCACAGCCTCATATTCCACAGAAGAATCTGTGCAGGTCCTGTGTCATGCCTAGTAACACACAACCTCTATGGCCTCGGCAGAAACCATTGTCATAATGACTGATCTGGCACAAAAGTCCAATTAAACCCAGTGACTTAAAAAAAAAAATTCACACACTTTATTATTTTTCTTTAAATCATGGTCCTTCAATGCATCATTCAGTAACCATACTATTTATGTTACTGTATTTCAGCCCTAAAGAAAGCTCTCCAATCAGTGCATGTTCTTCCCCCAAAATGTCATCACATATCACCAGATAATACTGAGCATTTCTCTGCTTTCTATCATTTACATACCATGAAGCGCTATAACTACCTGAGAGCCATTAAGGAAAGATGTGATTTGAGAAGAGAGACAAAGGTTTTGTGCTAAAAATATTAACCTGCACAGGTCTTACCTTGACAGAATTATAGAAAGCTTCGAACACACCCACACTTTTGGCACTAAGCTGCAGATTTACTGATCCTTCCATTGTTAACGAGATACCTTGGTGCTGGACTGTGTCCTTACTTGTTATGACCACGACTCCAGAAAGAACTTCCTAACAGGAGGAAAGACAACATGGAAAAAATTGTTTAAATAAATTTATTCTATAGCTGTTACTCAGAGACGATGCTAACTGATTTTCAAACTCAAGAAAACTGTTCCCAGAGAACAGTCTAACCTTGCCAGAAAAGACAAATACTGATAATGAAAGCAATGTGAGGAAGAGACCTCTGTACTTCTAGTTTGTTTTCTTTAGAAATATTTTCCTCCTCCTTGCAGAAGTACTAATCTGAGCTTCAATGTCTTTTCAAAGTTTCAAGATTTTCCTCTCCAGGAAGATAAAAATATCCTCATAATCAACTATCAGGTCCGCTGGTAACAGACAAGTTCCATTTTACATGTTAGAATGAAATCCCAGGAGGAATTTTTATATGAAGAATGGGACGGTCAGCCGTGGGGGATGGAAGAGAAGGCATAACTGTAAAAGTGATGGCCAAGCTGAGGATAAGACTCACCTCAAGAGTGGAGCGGAACAGTTCTAAAATAAATAAATGAATAAATAAATAGTTGTTCTGCTACACAAGCAAATTCCATGCTACATGGGAAATAGTTTAAAAGTGTACCTGAATTGAAGGCGCAAGTTGTATGACTCAAGAGATGCGTCACTTAACCCATTAAGAATTTTTCGTCTACAAAATTGTATTTGCACAAGAACACTGCACCTTGGAAGCATCAACTTAGAAGTTCTAACACTGAAAAAAAGATTAACTGCAGGAGAGCAACGCGCAGTTCATTTTACATACCCCATAGTTTATCCTTCCCCTCTCCTACGAGAGAATCCACTCCAATCTGGAGTTCCACGCCAAACATTCATACACATCTGGAAACAGCAGCAAGTGATTTGAGAACCTGAAGAAAGTTTCTTGGGGCTAACCTTCTCTTCTGCTCGATGGTAATGCTCTCTGCACCTTCACCAGGCTTGCAAACTAGACACCGAACTACAGATCACTCCAACCAAAGGATAATTCAGACTGCCCACTCTACACTCGACCAGTTAAAACCAGTCTAGTTATGTACATCTCTGGCAGACGCTATTTGAATTTTGCCAGCCTTTACTAGTGGTATAGGATGACAATATAGAAAATGGGTCAGGCGGCTTAAAGCTGAACAGGACAGCAGTAGAACATCAAGCATCGCAAGGAAGGCTGATACGCTGCAAGTCTGAAAAGAGGACCTGCAGCAACTGGGAAATGCCAGGAACAGGAGGCACAAGCTCAAAAGGACAGTGAAGAAAAGCTGACCTAAATACTGTACCGCTTTACTAACAGGCTTTAATTAGTACAAGCAATTAGGTTATTGCTTTGAAAAACGAGTACAGCTGAACTATAAGAAGCAAGGACAGTCCTAAACATATAAACTGCTTTAATAAATGAGAACGGTCGCGCACCACACAGCAACAACGTATTCCAGAGCTATTGCCTACATACTTTCACACGATAAGGGTGTCTGTATTTGGGGCAGAAAGGAGAAGAATGACTTGAAGTTAAATATGAATTCTTCTTATAACATTCAATGTCTCTTAAGAAATGAAAAAAACACCTCAAAACCACTTTCTAACAAAACCTTTCAAAGGTCACTAGTGTGGGGGAGAGGGAAGTATCATGAAAAAGATGCTGTAATATTTACTTAAACTGTTTATATGGAATCACTTTTTATTTCTGTTTGATGTGGGGGGGAAGTCAGCTATGTCTTTTCTGGAAAAGAGTCACTTTGTCCTTTTTTGTGTAAAACCAGGGTGCCCTGTAAATACAAAGCTGTCAGTACACTCGTCCTTCCAAAAAGTAGAAATCAAGAAACATAAGCTTACCAAGACATTCAAATACTTAGAGTTAGCACACAATTTATGAGAAAACTTTACTTTTGCAAAACATTTGCAAACATGTACGATTTGTAAAAGTTACGTAGCATCACTTAACACTAAACAAGTACTGTTTTCAGTCCATATCAAAGAGGGTTCATTTACCTTTAACATCACAAAATTAAAGGCATAAAGAAAGTCACCACTGGAACTAATCCCCATGTACTACAATATAGTAACTTACAATCAGTTGCTCTTACACACTTTTCACCTCCTCCCTTACTAGGAACTCCTCATGGCTTCACCGTGTGATGACAGAACTTTGCAAGATGGAACTAAGCTAACACGGTTCTACGCAGAATTATTCATCTAAACAGAGTATCCATCCACAGGAAGGCTAGTGTGTTATGTGAAGCAGAGAAGTGAGGCAGATATCCTAAACTGCAAACAAAACATTCTCGTGAGAAGACTGTCCTGCGTCAATGATCCCAAGCAAGCTTTTTAGCTTTCTGTTGTCAGTTCCTTACCATTCAGATATGCACATGAAACTGCCAGGAAGACTGACACTTCCAAAGTTTCAGTCACTTTCAAGGTCATGACTAAGACGAACACCTGCTTCACCTGATCCAGCAGCACAATCCCTTGTTTCTCTTGTGGCAGAGCAAAGTTACCCAAGTCTGGCTGAGGACAATTTGGAATGATCTTCAATCAAGGACATGAAACGGTGCATAACGCGCATCACAGAATCTCATCTCGAGAGTCCTCAGTCACATCTAGGCTTCTGACTGAACTAGACAGCTATTCAGTATCTATAAACTTTATGTAAAGGCTGGAAGGATCAAAGTAGACACTATACTGTCCCATAAATTGTTGGGAAAATTACTTCTCATGTTAAAATATATACTAATTCCAACCTGACTGTTTACACTGTCAGGTCTGTTTGCTACACTGAGGAGCTAGAAAAATAATTTTAGCTAGATAGTATGTATTTTCAGATTGTATCTAATCACTTGACATGATCCCTGATAAGAAAATCAGCCTAATCTTTTTTTTTTTTTTTTTTCAAATGCAAGATAGCTTTGAAAAAGTAACAAACAAACCACAAGGCAGGTTTTCAAGACCACTTGAAATCTGTCGTCACAGTTTTTGAGGTGGTGACAACAGCAGAGGACATCATACCTAATGCCATACAGAAATGGCTAACATTTCTCTAGTTCCATTTGATATCCATTACACATGTATGGATTAAGCTTTTCATTATTTTGGTAGAATGGAAGTCCATGGTCAGTTGGTTACCAACAAGAGACCTTAGATTGATTTTGGATTCCACTTTCCACATCACATGCATTCGCCTTTACAAAAGGTGACAAAGGGCAAACATTTGGCAATTTAAAAATTCACATTAAGTTCACCTAAGTCACGTTTAGTAAATATTCCTGATCATTTTCTTCCACCTCTGTTCCTCTAGGCAAGCCACCTGCAAACCTTAACTACATATTCTTCTGATTACTTAGAAAGAAACTGACCACACTCAATAGAAAAAGTCTGCTAGACCCAACTAACTAGTCATTAGCTGCTTTAAAAATCAATGCCTAGATTTACTAATTAGTTTGCTTTTTTAGAAAAAGTAAAAGGCTTCCTTATGGGCAAATTCTGACCAATATATTTTGGACTCACTTGTCATTAAAAGTCTCAGCTGATGTTAACTACAGCACCTTTCATTGTACAATGCATTTTTCAGGCCTTTCAGCCTAGAATTCTTTTAATTATCAATCTCAGACTAACTGCCACAGTTACTCCAGTGATTCTGTTTAGGTTTTCTAAATAAAATGCATCATTAGTTGTGCCTGTCCCTTCATTCTTCTAGCATTCCAGTTTATTAAATGAGCCTCAATGGCTCAAGAATTATCCATCCAATTAAAAGAAAGTCTCCTGAACACAGATCTTCTGTTCCTAGGAACTTAAACACAGTTTTGCTGCAATATACCTTGTTTTGCTATCATAGGACATGCTATTAGGATCCATTTTATTGTCTTTTTGTTCTTTAAAAAAAAAAAAAGTGATAGGGGATTTAAACAATGCTATTACTCTTTTAGTCCACAAAGTGGCAAACATGTTTTTTACTCACAATTTAAAGTAATCTGTTTAAGCCAGCTTTTCTCAAATTGAAGTCTGGATAAAATAAAGGTCTTTGTTGGCTTAGTTCCTCCAGTTTCTGATGATTATAACTAATGAATACAGAAGTTGCTTACTGTTTATCACAGCATGCTATTTTAACCAACTTCCTCTTTAAAAGCAGGAGCACAATATCAGGCTTGCATGATGCACGACTATTTTACAAATTTTGTGTCTAATTTCTCCCACTTAAAAAAGAACAGTCAATGCAGAAGCAAAGAACAACTAAAAAGAACAAAATAGTTGCCTACTCAACTACCTAGAACTAAAAAAAGTTTTAGGAAGTGAAGTGACTTCCACTGGGCATAGCACTGTTGCTGCTTTGCAACAATGAAAAATGCTTGAATTCAGATGGATTTAGTATAATCAAGGTCACCGTAGCAGGATGAGAAGTAGTCTGACCCAACCCAAGACAACAGGGAACAGTATTTGAAGGTTCTGTTATATGATATTTCAGCACCAAAGAGAAATTTTGAAGATCTTGGCCTGATGGGGAAAGCCCATAATGAAACGGATGCACCGCCCTGACCTTACAAAAAAACAAAAAAGAAGTTATTCAGCCTTAATTTTCCTGGTCAGCTATTTGCTTTAGACACACCCTCGTCTTCTCCACTCACCAGCCTTCTCATATGTGCTTTCAACAATATTTTCCCCTAACAAGACTCAAATTCAGTTCTGCAATAGAATTAAAGATAAGTTTGTTAACTTTCAGAGTTCTTCCTAGAAGTTTGTATTAAGAACTCCCACATCTTCAGGGCCTTATTCAGCATGGAATTTACCATTAAGAGATTCTCAGAACAGTTACTTGTTAAATATGGGTCTCTCCTATATCTGTTTCCCCTCATCCTTTCCCTCCTGGAGGGAATAAAGATGTATAGTAAAAACATTCAACAGCTGTAAAGATGCTGGTTGACATATATGCAATGGATTGAGAGATGCCGATTGCTAAGAATCCCTGAATATTGCACCCGGACTATGCACTCCCAAGAGGTACAAAACCAGAGCTTGAATGAAAGAATCAGCAGCCAT